TTATATTTATATTCATTTTTAATTTTAAATTATTAATTATTTTATGTTATTCATTTATTATTATTTCTTATTTATATTATTTATTATTTTATTTATTTCTATTTATCATATAATTTGTTGTTGATTATTGTTTTATGATTTTATTAATGTTAAAATTAAATAATTTGATTTATTTTCATTTATATTTATTTAATGTTTTCATTATTTAGTTTGTTATGTTATGAAATATATTGAATATTTATTTATTGATTGATTTAATAATAAGATAAATGAAGTACTAACAATTTAAATATGAAAATGATGTTGAAATTTCATTTAATTTATTATATTTTGTTTTATTTCTTTTTATTTATTATTTAATTGTTTTATTTTATTGACTGAATTGTTGTTATTTATTTATTTTCTTTTTATCATATTGATAACTAATTATCATTCATTCTTTATTTTCTTTACTAATCTTTTAAATTCTTATTTGATTTATATTTTAAAACAAATAAATATTCATTATTATTTATATTGTTATTTTAACAAATTTATATTCATATTATTTGAATTATTTTATTTTTGATATCACTCTTCTTATCAAATTCAATTTATTTATTCTATATTATATTTAATTTATGATAATTATCTATTATTAATTATTAATCATTATTAACACTTTCTTATTATTTATTTTTATTATTGATTTATAAATATCATCTATATCATAAATGAATAATATAATTCTATTCACTAAGAAGTTAATTAATATTTTATTAATTAGAAATAAATAATAATGATAAATAATGATATTTTATTTAAATAATATTTAAAATGATATCAATATTATTAAGTATTAATAAAATCATTAATAACTAATCAAAATAAATAATAAAATGATTAAATAAATATTTCATTTCATTGTACATTATCTTTATTTATTAAATTGAAAATAAAATAAATAATTTAATAATAAATAATTTAATAATAATGAAATATAATCATTTTAATGTATAATAATATTCTATATTTTATTTTTATAATAATTTAATTAACAATAGTTAAATATCATTAATTTATTTGTTTATTTAAATTAAATATTCTATTTGATATTATAATAATATATAAATTAATATAAAAAGTGAGTAATAATTAAAATAAACTAGAAATTACATTATTTATTTCATCATTTAATGAATGAATCAGATGTTATTAATCAATAAGAATTGTTATTTGTATCATAAACAATCAATATAATGAAATCATCAATAAAATAATAATTAAAATGAAATATGAAAATTAACAACAATAATCATTAATCAACAATTTGATTAATGAAATAATCAAAATATAAAATCAAATTCATCATTATATTCTCTCATTTCTAAATAATTTTAATATAAATTAAAACAAAATGATGAATAAAGAATGAATAAATATAAAATATAAATAAAATAAATAAATAAATAAGAAGATAAATAAGATAAAATATATAATAAATAATAAACAAAATAAAATAAAGATATAAAATAAATAAAAGATATAAAGAAATAAAATAAAAAGAAATAAAGAATAAAAAAAAGAATAATAAAACAAATATAAAGAATGAGATATCAATTAATAAGATAGAAAAGAATATTTAAATCATTTAAAAATTGAAATTAATATTAGTATTGATCTAATTCACATTGGAAAATAATGAACACTATATGTTTATTACTTAATTAAAAAAATATTTTAAACCAGTTAACGAAAGCTTTCATTTCATTTGCTTCATTGTTTTAGCAGATAACACAGTTTTGAACACAGTTTTTAACACCGTATTTATCTATTTTTAATTTTTCTCTTTCTTTTATTTCGTTCATTTTTCTTTCAAGTTCTGCTTTAATCTCTTCTCTGCTCTTTTTTGTTATTGAATTTTTCATAATATCTTCTATCATTTTATTTGTTTCTTTGAGTTGTTTGTATCCATTTATTCTTTCTTTATATCCACTTTTCTTTCCTTCATTTTCTGTTTCAATTAATTGGTCTAAATATTCATTAGAATTATTAATTCTACCATTTAATGCAATTTCTGATAATCTATTATTACAATCTATAATTTCTTGTTGTTTGTCATAACAATCAATTTGGATTTCATAATACTCTTCTTCTAACTTTTTTAACAGATTTTCTGCATTAGCCATACCTTCTTTACCTTCATTATATCTTTCAAATACTTCTTGTGCTGTTTCCTTTATGACCTCAATTTCATTATCCCATTTATATGATTCGTTTTCATGATCTGAGTGACTACACCCACATACAGTACAACGTCCGTTTTCAATACAATGACATGCCCTTATCGTAAATAATGAAATAAGAGATGGAACATGACATGGATAATGACATGTTCTCTTACATTTCTTACAATTAGTTGCATATTCTCCTTTTAATTCAAACTTTTTTGGTTTTGTTTTATGAACAAAAATTGTAAAATCTTTATTTTTATTAACCTTATCCTGATTCAAATAAAATTGTTCATATGTCTCTTCTATTTCATTCAGTTTTGATATTCCATTATTTAATGATTTTCTTAGCCCTTCAATTTGGACTATAATACGTTCTCTTTTCTCTAAAACTTCTCTAGATTGTTTTAATGATTTTCTTGGTAATTTTATTAATTTTTCTATAAATTTATCAAAACTTTTCATTCCTAATTCCAAAAACATTTGTGTAAATAAATCTCCAGTATTATCATCATAAATGGCTGAATTATTAAATTTTAAATACCATGGCTCATTTATTTCTGGAATAATTGTACTGAAAACACATTCTTTTGATTGTAATGCATTAATAACTTGTGGCGGTTTACCATCACAGAATGTAAGCATAGCAATAAAATTCTCTTTCACATCATTACCAAATAAATCAATAATATTATCAAATATATATTTTTGATTTGCTGTTAATCTTACATTACTTGATTGTGCAACAAAACAAATAGCATTTAAATCTAATACTTTTGTTTCAAATGCTTCTTTAATTTGTCTGGTAATTTCTTTATCATATTCAATTCCTCTTGTATCTCCAATCCAGGTGTATCTATTATTTTTATTGGTGGTGTTCTTTTTGTTCTTTTAATATTATAAATTGTTACTTCACTTGTTTGACTTTTAGATTGATCTTCACTCTGTTCTAAATTACCTTCGTTTATAATTATATATCTAAAATCATCTGTTACCTTGATTCCATATAATGCATTTACAAAACTATTTAATAATGTTGTTTTACCACTTCCTGTTTGTCCAACAACTAAAATAGCAATTGCATCACTCTCATCTATTGTATTAAATTCTTCATTTGGATATAAATATATTTTCAATTTTCCTTCTTCATTTTTCAATAGTTTACTTCCATCAATTGGAACGTTTTGTTCAGACACATCTGTAGTATCATTTGTTGAAATATCAGATATAACCATATTATTATTTAGTGAACTATCAGAGACTAAAGTATTATTTGTAGAAGTATGAGGTACTGTAATATTACATGGTGAACCAACAGGTATTGTAGTGATATTTAATGAACTAACAGGTACTACAGTATTATTTGATGAAGCACCAAACGTTTCTGTTGTTATATTGATCTTGTTATTATACAGAATATCTGATAATTTATATGACTGTTCTTCATCAGTTGGTATTTCAAATCCTTCTTGGTCTTTAAATACAAAGTCTTTTGGAATATTTTTTAGACTTTCAATTATCTTTCTGATATCTGAAAGATAAGAATTTTTATTTAATTGTTTTTTTATTAATGGCTTTTCGTTCAATAATATTCCAATTCTTACAATATTTTCTTTCTCATTTTTAAGAATAGCCTCATCATTATTTGATGTACTTTTTACTAAAACTAAATCTTTATCAATTTTATCAATTATTTCATTATCGGGTGTATAGAAATGTGCAGTTTCTGGAATATTTTGAATTGATTTCCTGTTATCATTTGACTTTGTTTTCTTATCTATTTGAACAGTAGTAACTCTTTTATCATTTAACTTTATTCTTGTTCCCTTTTTATCTTCTTTTTCTTTGATATTTATTA